TGGGGCCCTGCTCCTATTGTCTCTAGTGGCTTCAGATATTTTGTGAGCTTTGTAGACTTGTATTCAAGAAACAGTTGGGTTTATCTGTTAAAGAATAAAAGTGAGGTTGATGTAGCCTTTGAAATATTTACTGCCTTGGTCTCAAATCAATTTAAAACAACCATTCTTGCCTTGCAAACTGACAATGGAGGTGAGTTTCGTTTTCTTGAAGCTGTTACACGTAAACTTGGTACTCAACTCAGGAAATCTTGCCCACATACCTCCCAGCAAAATGGGGTGGTGGAAAGAAAACACAGGCATATAGTTGAAACTGCCCTGACTCTGTTAGCACAAGCCTCAATGCCTCTAACGTTTTGGTCTCATGCAGTTCTTAGTGCAGTGTACCTTATCAATAGAATGCCTTCTAAATCTCTTGGCAATATTTCTCCTCATCAGAAGCTGTATGACAAGGTTCCTGATTACAGTCTTCTCAAGATCTTTGGCTGCCAATGCTTCCCCAACCTTAGAGTGTTCAATGTACACAAGTTGGATTTTCGGTCCAAGGCTTGCGTTTTTCTAGGGTATTCACCAATGCATCGAGGTTATCAATGTATGGATGAGCATGGCAGGATCTATGTGTCCATAAGTGTAGTGTTCAATGAACACATCTTTCCCTTTGCTATCAAAGCAGCATCTCGTACGAAAGATGGTGATGAAGCTGTTCGTTCCAGGGTTGTACCAGTTGTTAGCAGTCCACACGAACATACCATGATTGTGCCAAGGACAGATACTATTACCGACATCAGTACTGGTCAAGGAGTGGAAGCAAGCAGTGCCAGTCCATCTTCAGGAAATGAATTTCTCACACATTCTGAAGAGCATTAAGCGAATATTGAACCGAGCTCTACTGGTCATGAATCTTCTGCTGATGTCCTCTCTCAACAAGAACAATCTGTCTCTGCTGAGCAAGATCATTTTGTCTCTACTGAGCATGTTCAACGCTCAGGAACTGTACCAGCAACTCGAGTAAGCAATACTCATTCAATGATAACTCGTAGCAAGCATGGGATCGTTAAGCCAAAAATTTACTCAGTTCAGTGCAAATCAGTGCCTGGTGACATTCGAGCTGCTCTCGAAGATGATGACTGGAGGATGGCTGTAATGGCTGAATATAATGCACTTATCAGCAACAATACATGGGACATTGTAGAATTGCCAGCTGGTAGAAAAGCCATTGGCTGCAAATGGCTCTTCAAGGTAAAAAAGAATGATGATGGCTCGGTCGAGAGATTGAAAGCTAGACTAGTTGCCAAGGGGTATTCTCAAATACCAGGCTATGACTTCATGGACACTTTTAGTCCAGTGGTTCATTTTTTCACAGTAAATATACTAATCTCTCTGGCTGTCTCATGTCACTGGCAAATTAGACATGTGGACGTCAACAATGCCTTTCTAAAAGGCGATCTAAGCGAGGATGTATACATGGAGCAGGTTCCTGGCTTTGAAGAACAGTCCAATGATGGAACTGTCTTAGTGTGCAAATTGAAGAAGGCACTATATGGATTAAGGCAAGCTCCAAGAAATTGGTTTCTCAAACTAAGAGACTTCTTGCTCAGCTTAAGATTCAAATCTTCGAGAGCAGACTCCTCATTATTTGTTCGCCAAGAAGATTGTGAAGTGGTGTACATGGTCGTGTACGTGGATGATATTCTTATCACAAGCAGTTCCCAACTTGAGATTGATCGAATGGTTCATGCTTTGCATGAGAAATTTTCTCTAAAAGACCTCGGACAACTCAAGTACTTCCTTGGCATAGAAGTACACCGATCGGATAATGGTCTGTTCCTCAGTCAAAAAAAGTTTATTACTGAACTTCTACATAAGAATCAAATGTCAAGTGTGAATTCAGCATCCACTCCTATGGCAACCACAACCAAACTTTGTAAGAATGATGGGGAAGTGTTGCACAAGCCTCAACAGTATAGAAGTGTAGTTGGGGCACTGCAGTACATCTGCCATACACGGCCAGATATCTCTTTTGCTGTCAATAAAGTTGCACAGTTCTTGCAGGAGCCCACTGAAGTTCATTGGCTAGCAGTCAAGCGTATTCTGAGGTACTTGCGAGGAACACTGGAAACTGGTCTCTGGTTTCCTGCTCAAGCACAAAAGCTGGTGACACTCAATGCCTTCTCGGACTCTGATTGGGGAGGAGATGCAGATGACAGAAGGTCGATCTCTGGATACTGTGTGTACAATGGGAACCACCTGCTGGCATGGAGCTCAAAAAAACAGCGCGCAGTGTCCAGGTCCACTACCGAAGCTGAATACAGGAGTCTCGCGGATGCCACTTCTGAAGTTGTATGGATTAAGGCTGTGTTGCAAGAGATGCATATTTCGCTCCTTGAAGAACCTAAGCTTTGGTGCGATAATACCAGTGCAGTAGCTATGGCTGTAAACCCCATATTGCATGCAAAAAGCAAGCACACCGAGCTCGATCTGCATTTCGTACGAGAGAAGGTGGCAGCACATGAAGTGCAAATCAATTATGTACCAACAAGTAGCCAAATTGCAGACATACTAACTAAACCTCTTCCCTTGGTTAAGTTTGATTTGTTCAAAAGTAAATTGTGTGTCTTTGAACTAAAGGATGTTTGTAAGAAGCAGGGTGAATGTTAAACCACTTTCGGTTAAGTGATTAGAGTTGGTTAAGTAGTTGATTAGTTGTAACAGACTTGAGCCATAGTCTTTAAATAGCTGCTCTACCAGTGTATATTCATCAGTTCTTTGAATAATAGCTCATTATTCTTTTTTCCTTCGTCTGATCTTTGCTTCTTCCCTAGTTAACACTTACTAGTACTGTATCAGATGTCTGTAGGGCAGCTCACAGCATTAACTACTTGAATGGAAAGAACAGAAATTGTCGTTGAGCCCGGATGAATTGAGAAATTTTTTCTTTTGGTCCTCCACATCCCATAGTACACTTCCATTATCCTGAAAATTTGTGTTGTCAACTTATTCATAATACATGTGTATGTAATGTGTATGTATGTATGTATGTATACTGACCTGAGGTTGAGCAAAGACAATAGGGTTTTGGCCCTGGTGAAGTAAAAGAGCAAGTGAAGAGGAGGCATTTAGGAGAGGATAGTTACTAGATAGGGAAAAGGTGGAGGTAGTTGAATCAACAAAAGTTGAAGCTTGAGTGGGATTGCTTTGTTGCGGACATGGTACTAGTACCACTGTTGTTGTTGATGCTTCACTCTTCACTCTCTAAAAAAAGAATTACACATGTCAGAGACAGATTTTCATTAGCTTTTGTAATAAATTAATGACCATTTGATCTCCTTTTTACCTCTGGTTTCACCGTTGAAGCTTCCAGGTCCACTCCAAAATCATAGAACATGGGACCACAGAAGCAAGCTTCATTGACAGAATCTATAAAAAAAACACACCAAAAACAAGATTATTTTGTAGCAAATAACTGTGAAAGAGTGGTTAATAATTTGTATACCTCTGCTTGATTTTGCAAGGACTGAATGTAGTTGATAGTTTCATCCAACACAAGTGCCTTTCCTGTTACCTATGTTCATGCAAAAGAACCAGACATGAAAGCTATCTGGAAAATGTTCTCCTGACAAATGAACATAACTGCATACCTTTTCACACCCTGGAACCAGACATTGCAATATCTTCATCCTCTCACTGATCTTCTTTCTTCTTGCCTGTAAATCCATTTACAGAAACAATCAATGATTGAAAAGGATAAAGGACTTTGAACCCTTAAAATAATTGAGTAGCTAAAGTACCCTTTCTGCTAGACTGTGACTGTCGGTTGCTTGGCCTCTCCTTGCTCTTACATGAACGAAACTTGTTGGAGGCTCTTGAGGAGGTTTCTTTTCAATTTTCATACCATTTTTGCACTTATTTTTCACTCCCTTTGCATCCTAATCGGAACAAAGAAATAAAAAAAAAACAGGATAAATTAGAAACCCATCATTGAAAAGCTCCAGAATTTTACTTTGAAGCCACCAAGCATATCTTAGATTTAGCAGGATTCAAGGTTGTCACATTTCTGGTCCGCCGTTTCATATATTCAAGCTTATCCACCACCGTCGAATCGCCACCGCCGGTACTCTGTTTTCTACCCTCCGATGGCTCATTATCAACAACGCAGCTACTCTCACAGCGGTTGGGGTACTCAATAAGTGAGTCGTGGAAAAGATGATGAGGTGAGTGAAATTGAGAGAAATAATCCGAGTTGAACTGGTTTCCATCATCCATGATAGAGGAAGAAGGTTCCATGTTCGGAAAGTAAATGGAGTTAAGAAGAAAAGGGTGAGAGAGGTATGAAAAAGGTGCCATAAGAGAAACTGATGGGAGAGGGCACAGAAACTGATATGGAAGAAGAAAGCTGATGAATTGAATTGAAGGAAAGTGGGTCTACGAGGAGAAACAAAGATGCCGTAGGTTTATATAAACACGAGAGCGAGAGAAAGAATCAAGGAAGACAGGGTAGTTAAATTTTCTAGAAAAAATCAACAGTGTGAAGCTTTTGTTTTCTTTTTCCAGCCTGATTACAAAAAGAGATGCCTCGTTAGAATCTCTTTTATAGGCGATTCTAAGTTAAAATTTTAGTACAGACAACTGAAGAATAAGAGACTGTATTAAATAATCATTCATAATAAGAAATTTTTGATACATTAATACAATCATCTAACTAAACATACTGATTAGACGAAGAAAATAAAGAACTATTAGCACCAGCAAACGAAGCCAAAGAGTGAGCCACATGGTTCCTCGGAAGGAAATGTGAATGCCACATCGTTAGCTTAGAAAAGTAGGAATTGTAGCCCAAACCCTAAACCCACTTTTATCCCATTCCCTCAAATATTATGGGCATAAAGCTGTAGACTTCGTTAAATTCATAAACACTCGTTTTTACCGTTTAAATGTCTCAAACTTTAATAAAAACCATTTCTTCATCTTAAACCTTCAACCTTTTGTGAACCATTGGCTAAGGTTTAAGGCCTAACCTCATCCTACATGGTAAATCATCCATGGCGGTTTCAGGGTCAACCTTCGCCTGCAAGCATCATTTATCTCTTCGCCCTCCTCTATTCCACTGCTTTCGCAAATTATTTCTCTCCTTTTAAAAGTCATTTCTTTGTAGATTCGGTTCAATTCCGTTGCTGCAATCGAGACGCTTGATGAACCAGTGGATTTTATCAAAGATGACAGCAGTCAAGGCCCTCATTTTTCACCTGGAAAGAACGGTATGCCATAATTTTAATGTTTCCGCATTTGGTTGTACCATTTTTTTCCTGAAACTATGGGTGTTGAAGTGAGTGGAGAAGAAATCAAATTGCCACGCTGGAAGAAGCTTAATTCTCTGGATCTTGGAATTAGCTCTTCAATGATTTCCAATCCAACAAGAAAAGTTCTTAATGGGCTCAAAAGAGAAGGTATTATCATATATGTTTCTATTGCTATATGTGTGGGAACGAAGCTTGTTTTTTTCGTAAAAGTTTGGAAATCTTAGGACTTTCTCTTGTGCATGTAGGATATGATGTTTACCTTGTAGGAGGTTGTATTCGGGATCTTATTTTGAAGCAAACACCGAAAGATTTCAATATTATCACTACAGCACAACTCATAGAGGTTTCTGTTGTTGATAGCTTTGGTTCTTAATCTTGTTTTGGTTGTTATTTTATGGTTATTTTTATCTTACTTGAATGTTTGTTTAATATATAGTACATACTGATATTGTTGGTGAATCGGCATGCTAATAGCTATAATTTTAGCATTGGATATGTTAACACTTCATACATATCTCAGAACAAGCATGGTATGATGTCGGGGACTGGGTGATACCACACAAACAGAATCTCTCTATTGTTAGCGTCATGTCTTACGGTTGCTGTTCTAAATTTTCAGGTGGTGAGTGCATTTTCACGGTGCAAAATAGTCGGAAGGCGGTTTCCAATATGCCAAATGCACATCGATGATACAACAGTGGAGGTTCATTCTTTGCTATTCTTATCTTTGACTTTTATGAACTCTGGAGACAGCAATTCAAAATCGTGTTTTTCTTCCAGTTTTATGCTTGTTGATTTTCTCTTGATGATGACTATTTCAATTTTTTTTTCCTGTTTTGTTTTTAATGCTTTATTTGTGTTTCGAATTCTCTTTACAATTTAGGTTTCAAGTTTTAGCACGTCTGCACGGAATTACGATAGGGGGCTGACCTATGAAATTGAAAGACCTGCTGGCTTTGACGAGAATGATTTTGTTCGATGGAGAAATTGTTTGCAACGAGATTTTACAATTAACGGGTTAATTTTATGACATTTTGAACTTATGATTTATGTACTGCAAATTGTTCCCATTTTATTTACATCCTATGGCTTTAATTTCTAGTATTCATGGTAGCATGCCATTTCATCATTCATTCTGAGACACCTATCGGTTTTTACAGGATAATGTTTGATCCGTATGCAATGATAATTGACGACTACACGGGAGGAATTGAAGATATTAAAAAGGCTAAAGTATGTATTATGGTTGACTCCATGTTGCTCCAACTCTTTGTTTTTCGTAAAATACATGTATTCAATGCATAGGACATGACCTTAAAGGACCCTCCAAATAGATGGAAAAACTTAGAAAGAAACGAACACACTTATGTTGTGCACATGCCCTTATCCAACTCTCACACCTGAGTTCAAGTAAACATTAGGTGGTTGTTCCTTTAGTTGCTATGGAAATTAGAATTAATTCACATTCTCCTTTACGAACTGTGATTCCTGCAAGTACTTCTTTTCAAGAGGACTGTGGTAAGTTTCTTATATGGAGGTTCAACTCAATTGCTTTCCATCTTGTAGTATAGCAACTGCCTTGAGAAAATCACACCTTGCTCTCTTTGCAGCTAGGATACTACGTGCAATAAGAATTGCTGCCCGGTTAGGCTTTAGTTTTTCTAGGGAAACAGCTCATTTTGTAAAAAATCTATCTTCCTCGATATTGAGACTGGATAAGGTATACAGAAAGTTTTTCCCAACTTTTTAGTTAAGTGAAACTGTTGATTCGCTGATCTCATCCACTATTGGTAATGTTTAGTCAAGGCTTCTGATGGAAATGAACTACATGATGGCATATGGTTCTGCAGAAGCATCTTTGAGATTATTGTGGAAATTTGGACTCCTAGAGATACTTATGCCTATTCCGGTACTGAACTGAAAATTTGATACAACCTCATCTTTCAGGCAGCATATTTTGTTCGCAATGGGTTCCGGAGGCGTGATAAGAGATCTAATATGCTCTTGGTAATTTTTGTTATGTATTTGTTTTGGTTTGGGTTTACTAACTTACTTGCATCAATGTGGTGGTATGGAGTGTGTTAATTTTCTGATGTTCTGTTTGCAGTCATTGTTTTCTAAATTGGACAGACTTCTGGCACCAGACAGACCATGCCACAGCAGTTTATGGTAAGATTTAATGGCAAGAAAATCCTAAAATCCCTTCCATCAATATAATGCAGTGTCAATATTCTGGAATCTCGACGATGATCGTCAATTAGTTCCTTTTTTTCTTTTTCGGGTGTACTTCATTGAAGCTACTTATCCCTAAAACATCCTCTTACTTCTCTAACAGGGTTGGAATTTTAGCATTCCATAAAGCACTTTCAGACAAACCTAGAGATCCTTTGGTTGTTGCTGCATTTAGCCTGGCCATCCACAATGGCGGAGATATATCCGAAGCTATAAATATTGCCAAGAACATCAAGACATCGCACGATAGTAGTTTTCATGAACTATCCGAACCACGGAATCCAGGGAATCGAGCATTAGTAAATGAGGTGATGGATCTTGCTGCATCCGTTAAACGCATTTTGTGCCAGATGACAGATGTGCATTACGTCTCGCAAGCGATGTCGGCATACCCTCAAACCCCGTTTTCAGATCTCGTAAGCATCTTTTTTCGTGTTTCCTTTCTATTCGATTTTATGGAAAACACACCATGATAAAACTAACATGATATCGACAGTGAACCCGAACAAACATCTTATTTTTGTCCCGTTAGATGTAGTAGTAAGCAATGTCTATTTTCCGCTCGCTTCACCAATTTAAAGCATTTCTTGAGGTTGAGTAAGGAAACCAGCAGTTGATTGGGGGAGTAAGGATTGAGTCACTGGAAGTGTTAATAATCGCACCACTGGTCGTAATCCGCATTTCCTCTAAAAGGCATAGCTGATTTTTTTCCCCGAATCATTCTTGTGCAGGTATTTATACCCCTGGCATTGTATTTGAAAGTTTGCAAGGTCTTCGAGTGTGTGACAATGGGTGCAGAGAACGGATTCGTAGCGATGCGAGGCAGCCGGATAGATTACGAGTGGCTAGCATTAGGCAGCCTCGGGGAAATTCGACATACATTTGCTAGAGTTGTTTTCGATACGGAATACCCTATAGCCCTAACCTAAGCTAAGATGCTGCATTTGAAGTGGTTGTATGCAGTAGAAACGAAAATACCAAGTCTTTAAATGATTAACGTATGCTAAAGCCCATTGGTTTCTTGTGTATATGCCCTGGCACAAGCATATGCGGTATACCAGAATATATAAAACCATTAGATTACATATAAACAAATGATTATTTAGTATTGATTCAATAAAATGTTTGATATGATTTTTTTTTATTAAAAATAGAATATATTTTATTTCCAGTATACCAAAGTTATAGAAAGTCAAAACCCAAACCAAAATGTTAACCTGTGAGATGAAGCAAAAGCAGAATACAAACTACAAATGTTGAGCGTCTAATTGTACCAAAAATAAAAGTTAATATATTTAAATATTATTAAAAATTATTACTTAACTACAAAATAATTAGGTATCGCACTACAAATAAATACAAAAATTAAGGCTTAATATAAAAATAAGTGTCCAAACTATATCGTTTTTCTTAAATTAATGCCTAAACATTTTTCAGTCAATTCAGGTTTCTAACGTTACAAACATTGTTATTTCAACCGTTATAAAACTCTATTAAGTGATACATCATACTTATATAATTTTAAATTTTCTTTAAAAAATATTTTTTAAAAATAAAAATTAAATTTCCCCCGAGTCCCATCTCCCGCCCCCACCCCACGCATCCCCCTACCCTCGCACAGCACCAACCACGACCAGCTAAAGAGGTTAAAGAAGTTTTTAGGGATTTGAATATTTGATATTTTAAAGACCCAACTTTAAAATTTAAGAGATAAAGGCAACAATGAATTATTGGTGGGCTCGTCGAGTGATTGATTGCCGAGTTATTCGATGACGTTAAAGAGCTACGACCGATGTAAATAGAAGAATCGGAATTAAAAAAAATTAAATTTTGGGACTTATAAGATTTGAGAAAAGTTTTTTTAAAATATTTTTAAAAATCCATAATTATATAACAATTTTTTTAACGATCATTACATACACCTAAAGTGATAATATTTGTTGTATTAGATATCTGGATTAACAAACAAAAAAAAAGTTAAACACCAATTTAAAAAATATATATAATTTAAACGCTTGTTTTTATTTATATTAAGCCTATCAAAACATATATTTACACCTCTGAAAACCATACATTTTGGTAGGTTGGTATATTGTGGGCATCGTTTGGTCTACTATTTGATCAAATTTTTGACATTTGGTCTTCAAATAGTGACATGTAAATCTTCTCACACACCAAAAACATGTAGCACGCAAGCTTTTTGACATGTATAAACTCTCCTAACACGTCTATGTCAGTGCTGATTTTTTAGTCGAGATTTGATTGCCCCGCAGTTCAGGCATTTACCAAGCTGCCGGACACAATGGGTCTGACGATCTCCTTGTTTCCTGGAAAACAATAATGCGAGGATCGATGGCAATCACTTATCAGATCTGCCACATTGCCCATTATGATCTAATCAATGCTACTTGGAGATTATTTCCCGGGATGATATAAAACATAAACCAACAAAATGACGTGCTTTAATTGGAACATTAGACGATGTATTAACTTGCATTCACAGGCCGAAATGCGACCTCTGTACATGGGGAGTAGGGGGAGCTGCAAAAGCAACGGCCGGTACAGCCGCACTCAAAAACACAGATTCGGGTTTACATAATTTATGCATATAGAGAACATTTTAAACTATGACCTCTGCAGCATGTCCAGAATTTCACTATACTACTATTCTGGTTTAGAAGATCAACTTGCTGCCAATATAGACTCCCATGTCACAAACTGATCTAAGCTTATAACCAATTGGAATGCCAATATAGCGCTCCTAATGTCTCTTTAACAAAGGGCTGAAACAAGAAAAGAACATGTCACTAGCTGTGCAATAAGTTTCCCCTATGCTGAAACGGAAAACAAAAGCAAAAACGAGGAGGGCATATACACCAACATTACCAAGAACCATTAAGAAAAGCCTAACAATTCTCTGCGCTAGATGTTATCATTTCCACTCCATCCAGGCCTCCCGCGGAAACTGAATTGTCCTCACCCTTTGAGCTCATTGATCCTGGCTTCATCTTCTGTACCTCCTCTCTAGTGTAGATACCAATCTTGCGAACCATCGCACAAAATTCCCTAATTCAAAAAATAAAAAGAATTCAGTATTGCCATCCAACATATTAAACAAGTGAAATGTCTCATAGAATGAATGCAAGAATACTCACTGCCAGGGATCATCTCCAACAAGCATCATATCACCCTCGTCATCAGTATAAACCACAAGCCAATTCCTTTTAGGGGCCATTAACTCGCCTCTAAATTCAAATAATCGATCCAGTTCAGCAATAAGTTCATCGTAGTCGTGGAACTTGGAAAGATCCACAGACCTACCAAGAGCAATCCCTTGCTTGTGAACCTGAAAAATAAAGATAAACAGATCCAAGTTACTTGTAGATTTCATAACAGCAAGCACACAATATCAGGACAACAAAAAAAGAAAATGAACCTTAGTACAACTCCTAGTTGAAGCACTAAACGGCTTGCTTTGAATCTCTCGTGCATGAGGTTGTTTCTCCAGCTCATTAAAATTAGACAAGTCCTCCACATCCACTGATTGTGAGACCTTTGAGTTTTCAAATCTCTTGTCAGATTCAAAAGCTCGAACATGGTGTACTGCAGCTTGCATATGACCCACAGGCTTATTCAACGAATTAACACGAGAGAAAGTGGGCTCCAATGCAACAAAATTCCTAATGAGAGGAATACCAAAGAGCTTGCAGTTTCCTTCTCCAGATTTTCCATTCTCGTGTTCTTGTACCAATGATGTAGGAACTAAATCTCGAGATTGGACTGGACTCTTCTCATGATGCGAATTTGGGGGAGGCATCAACCAGTTTCCATTTGAGTGTTCAATTTTATGGCCTTGAAGTACAGGATAGTCACCAAAACCACTACATTGACCATTTCCTCGGGGTTTATAAGGCACGCTAGAACCTTGCCTTGGCAGCATTGCATTTGTGTCGGCCAATTTGAGTGATAGACCAGAAGGGCCGAGGGACCAAGAGCCAAACTTCCTTTCTTGATCTACTGCTTTTTCTTTCATAGTCTTACCAACCAATAAAGTTTGATCAACCAAGGACGAACAATACCCATGTGAGGAATCAGCATTTGATCCAAACCCTGAGAGTAGATCTGTGTATGTTGGTTCATGCCTCCTGGAGGACATCCAATTCTCTGAACCAAATCTTCTTGAAGCAGAAACCACATGAATCTTCTCATTATCTACAGGTGGCCACATCACCGACTTTTCAGCAGTGTCAGACTCCATACTCTCTGCAAAGTTGCCTCTCAAGGTCAAGAAGTCTTGACCTTGCAAGACCCTTGACAAACCACTAGCTGTTGAAGGGTCTCCAGTAACTTTGGATGAACCTAGACATGAATTCAATCATTCGATCTTTCTAGGTGAGATACTACATGAAAATAAATTATGAGACCTTCAATTCAGAAAGGCCCTACCTTCCCTAGTTAGCACAGAGGAATCAGGGGATGAAGGTACTGCATGGGGTCGAGGCCTTTTGGCCCTGGGAATTGGAAGGGGATTCAAGGCTGAAGGAGCCAAAGCAGGTTCAATTTTCCAAGGAGAAACTCTCTCCGGACGAGGTATGTTAGATGTCTCATCCCATCGCACCTGCAAGGGGTAATTAAACAATGTTTCAGAATCCGAGTTGAAACATTCTACCATTTAGTTCAGTATCCTAAACATGTCAAATTAAATAAAATATACCTTGAGGCATCTCCATTTGGAATCCTGCCACCTTTTCGGATCAGTATCTTCTATTCCAACTATTGTTCCAGTAAACCTGTAATATAAAAATTCAGCTTGCTCCCATATCATGTTTGAAAATGGTTGCTCTCGTGCAGTAAAATACTATTGACACTTAAATAAATTATTGTTTTAATGCAGCCATACAAGAAAATAGCATCTTCACAGAGAAAGGAAGACAGAAGCTATACCTCTGTTCAGGAGCTTCTTCACCTTCAAATCTCATTTTGAATCTCATCCCTATAGAGTAATTATTCTTTAATGACTCCATGCACTGATCAAATGGAACAATAAATTCGGCTGGGCTTGTCCTATAACAGAAAAAGTATAAATACAAGAACCTACAACGAATTCTTCTACCAAATAGCAATTTTACATTTGAGAACTCATTAATAAGTGATCTCTTTGGAGAGCATTAGCATATCGATCCAGGAAAAATGATAAATCGTGTAAGAAAAAAAGGTAGCAAGATCTTCATACCTAGGTTTGTAATACGCAGTAAATATGGTTCGTGTTGAGAAGGCATGCCACGCTGTTGCAAGCACACCAAGATGCATGCTATGACTTGATATTACGGATGGAGGAACATTGCCCTGCTGCCTCATTGCTCTTCTTACACCAACACGTAATTCTCCGTTCTCACCTCTGAAGTTGCAAATCATTTCCACGTTATTACTCAAGCTCAAACTAAGAAATTATTTTGAAACACCAAATTTCAGAGCACATGCGAGGAAGCATGCAAACCTTAAAAATATAAATGCATCCCCTGCAACAAGCCTCTTGGAACTCACAAAAACACTCCAGCCATTTTGAAGCAAGTGTCTTCGTGGTTGACCTGACATGCACATCAAAAAGTGAACCAAATTATATAAACAAAACGGGATTAAAATGTAATAATGAGAACAGAAATAAAATATATATATAATGACCCGCACTAGTACAAACAGTTCATGTAACACCAACAAGGTTTAAAAGTATTACCCCTGAAGATATGCCGGAATCGCCACTCATTTCCATGCAAATCCTTAGCAACCAATTCCTGTGTTGGAGGTTGCCGTGACATGTCCTGTTAAACAAGCTCAAATGAATCATACCCTAATAATCACATAGGAAAGAAGAAAAGGAACTATGCATCTGCATCAAAGAAGACACAAACCAATGGTGGAAGACATTCATCAGCATGTCGCCTGAGCACCGAAAACCCACCATGGGTGCTAGTATCGGAGGCAGTCAAGGTCTTGCAAAAGGAATGAACATCGAACCGTGGGGGTTGAGGAACGGGAGGCTCCTTGTCCAAGGTATTCTCGTCTTGCTGCTAAGATATAGAGAGTTGAAAGAACATACTTATTAGAAATTCAACTCATCATTATCTTCTAATCATAACAAAATACATAGAAGTAGAGACCAGAACTTACTGTAGGTTCAGGAAGCAGAGTCACTTGTGCAAAAACTTCATCAGTATCAGGTTCAACCTAAATAGTTAACAGCAAAAGGATATCAGTCTCATTAGAAAAAACAAAAACCATACAAGTTGCAATAAACAGGTGCAAAAATACCTTTAATTGAACGTTAATCACCCGACAAAGGATTTTCGATGGAAGATTATACACTGGCATATGCTGGTCTGAAACCTGATTAGTAGAGGCCTCAACCTGATTCACCATAAACATGTGGTTAATAGTAAGAAAAAGAAAATCCAGAAATATACATGAATATAAAACATGATAAAGGGAAAGATCCGCTTCAGAAAAACCAAATTCATTCACCAATAAAGAAAATTTAATACCAACATGAAACGAAAGAAAGAAAAAAAGCGAGAAAATGGAGTAGAAGAGAAACCTGTTCTATGTGACCTTGGGGAAAGTAGAACACGCGCTCTCCTTCGCGAGGGACGGTCACCAGAGGTCCGGCACATGCACGCCAAAGCTCCGCATACAGCGCTGTTTCCGGGTCTATATTTTCCAGACACGAAACGAAACCGAAATAAACATAAAACGGCAAATAAAAAACTGAGAACCCGATTAAAGCCGTAAAGGGAAGAAGAAGCCATTATACCTCTGACGGCAGCTTGACGAGTCGACAGACCGTTTTGCCCTTCCATGGTGTTCCGAGCATCAATTGGCTTGCTATAACCAGAAGAAAAGCTTTCTTCTCCTCTTCCGTTAACACAATTTCCTTTCATTGATACCTCCGTAATTGTCATTTTTTTTACTTCAACGTTTCCAAATGTTTTCAGCTCAGATCTCTCATCCGATACTCTAAAATTCCCATAAAACTAAAAAACCCTAGCTCGAATTCAACGCAAATTACCAACACCGCTCTCGTTTAAAAAAAGAAAACCAACTATCCCTTAGAAAATTATCAAATCGACCAAAACAAGCCTGTATTCCTCTCAATTCACTACCAATCTTCTTGATTTATGCAACAATCAATCAATTCTGATTTATCGGTCTTCCTTTCCACTTTTTTATCTCTAGTCACTTTCACTCTTCCTCTTTCCTTCTGCCAAAAAACCAACAACTCACTGCTCATCTCTAAATCTCCTCATCAACCTGTACAAATTGCAGCAGATGAGCCGAGATATCAGAGCTCGTACACTCGCGCAAAGAGGAAATTTCCAAAAATAACATAAATAAATAAAGCTTTTCTCTTTCTCTCTGGTTTCTCTGTTTTATTTTTTTTTCTCGTCTCTGTTTGTCTGTGTGAAAACTGTGAAGCAATGGCAATCTTTTAAACCGCTGTAAATTCGTAACCCACTAAAACAAACCGGCATTACCGGCTACACCCGGTGGACTTATCAGCGGGGACGAAGGAGTCAAGGCCCATACCCGCAAAGGGGACCAGATATATAGTTCATGCAAATAAATAATTTTTTAAAAAGGATTATTGTTAATTTTAAAAAAAACCATTTAATAATTTTGTTTATATAAAAATTGAACTTTTAAACGAGAATAAATAACAGTGAGGGTTACTGAGTGAGAAATAGAAAAATAGCATATTTGAGAAATTATTTAAAAAAATAGAAGTTTTTTTAATAATTGTCAAATTCATTTTCATATATTAACGTTTGCGTAAGTTAATAGATTTAACGCTATCTTATTATATATTTATATTTTTACTCATTAAATGTAAAAAATATATATTTTGACCACTTGATTTATTAAATTTTAGTCACTTATGTCATATATTGTTACATTTTTATCAATGAGTCATTAAATATGTTAATTTAGTGATGTGACACGTTAATAAAATTAATTATTTTTAATTTTACCTCTTAGTTTTAGGTATGATATTAATTTAATCTATAAATTTTAGATGAAAATATCATTTTGACTCATTAACTTTAGATAAAATATCAAATTGATCTCTAAAATTGATCTAAGTCTCCCATAGCCAACTGCCACTCACCGATGTTGTCATCGAAGGGCATTATCTTTCATCATCGTCAAATGTTAAACCATATAATTTTAGGTTTACTTATTTTCACCTCCTAAACGTCAATCTAATATATATTCATCGGAAAAAGCCTCAAATTTAACAATTCTAAAATATAGTCATTTTACTTCTTTTTAAATTAAACAGTAATAATAAACTTATCATTAATACTTCTTTTAAAAATAAAGACACGAAACGACTAAATTTTTATCATAACCAAATCTATAAAAAAATTATAATATTGTTATGTTATAGTTATTATGTTATGTTTATAACATTAGTTATAATTATTTTTACATTTATAAACATTATGCAAATTTGGTGACACGTGTTGAAAATTAAGAATATTCAGGGAATTGAATTTGGGATCTGAAGAAGGATCAGGCCTAATTACTAGGTCAAATCATATATTTGTTCCCGTAATGTAAATATTTTTTAATTTTATATATATTTAAAATTATTAAATGACTAAAAATAAATAATTGAGATTAATTCATCATTATTTTTTGTGAATATTTTCCTAACTCATATTGTTAATCTCAATCGTGTGTTTTTATTCGCCTAACGACCTAAATCTATATAAAATTCAAAGAATTACATTGTATAATTAGAATATATGTATATATATATATATATATGATTAAGTAGAGAGGTAATAAAATCCTATCCCAATAATAAATATAAGAAATTAATATTTAAAGAGCTTGAGTTCAAGCTCACTTCCAATATAGATCCATGATATTATTCGAACTCTATAATCATCATAAAATTAGGGTGTGTTTGTTTGCCGTAATTGGAATTACGGAATTGATTTTTTCCGAATTTCCGTGTTTGTTTCACGTAATTAGTTTTTCGGAAAATGTTTTCCCGTGTTTATTTCACGTAATTCGTTTTCCGGAAAATGTTTTCCCGTGTTTGTTTCATGTAATTGGTTTTCCGGAATGTAATTCATTTTCCTAGTAACAGAATTTCCTTTGTGTTTTCTGTAAAATGACTTACGGATTCATTTTCCGTAAATCATTTTCCGAACTTTTCACTTCAAATAATAAATACTCAAAATAATTTTATTTTATGAATTTAATATTAGTAAAATATTTTAATATCATTCTCATCAAAATATTATTTATTTATTTATTAATATTTATAATAATATAATATAATATTTTTAATATTATATAAAATAATCAATTATATTATAATATATATATTATATTTTTATTTAAATAATATATAATAAAAAATTATATATTTAATAATGAATAATATTATTTATATATTTAAATAATATTTTAGTAAAGATATTTAAAATATACTAATTAATATTTTTAAAATATAATATAACACTATTACTTTAATAAATAATTTATAATATTTATAATATATTATTTCACTAAAATATAAAAAAAATTATTATTTTTATTAATAAAATTATAAAAAAACATTAATATTAAATAAATTATTTTAATATTTTAAAATAATAATATTAAGTTTTATGATAAATAATATTATTTATTATATTTAATATTTATAATAAATAATTTTTTTAAAAACTCTTCATCTAGTGGAAAAAATGTTTAAATAACATCTTCCAAACATCATAAAACGTTTTCCAAATGTTTTTCAGAAAAATGTAATTTATTTTACGGAAAACATTTTCCGAAAAATGTTTTCAATAAATGTAATTCATTTTTCATAATTCAAATTCTAGTAATTCATTTTTCAGTTCCAGTAATTCAAATTCCAATAATTCAAATTCCAGTAATTCATTTTTCGAAAAATCAATTACAGTCAAACAAACAGACTCTTAATAAATATTACAGAGTAAAAATAACATAGAAGAATCAACTCTCGTAAGCGCGTCAATTCACTCTCCAAAAAGCCCATTTTAAAAATGATTTTAGAATGAAGGAATAATTAAAATAAATAATATTCGAAAAAATAAAGAAAACTCGTTCTTTCATCGACTAATCGGTCTAAATGGTAAGAAAATTATTATTATTTCTTAAAATTTTGAGTTTAAATACCATGAATGTGAACGTTTAATGTTAAATAATTTATTATAAAATATATAATTAAATTTAGCATAGTAAATTAAATGATTTTGATAAAATAAAAAATTATATAATATTAAAATTAATGATATGATACTAAAAAAGTTAAACATACAACTTTATATTTTTTTTAGTTACAATAATAAAAAAGATCAATTAATTTGAAATTTAGTCCATGACTAAAGAAATTTTTTAAATATACTTTTTTAGTATAACCACTTATATTCGATTTATAAAATATATATATATAAACTTAGAAATGTTTATTTCTTTAAATTTATAATTTTGAATTAAAAATTAATTTATCCTTCCCCATCTTTAATTTTTTTTACATAATTTTATTTCTATATAATTTTTCAATGATTTCTCTCTCAAATTATCAACTCTCAACTTAATAAAGGTATGTTTTTCTCTAAGTTAGTGATATGTAGTTTATAGCTCGTTTGTTTAGTAAATTAATTTACAATTTGTAGAATGAAATCATCTAATGTTGATCATGTTTGGATAGATTTGTGTTTTGGAGGGTCATGGGAGAATGTTCATGGTGTTTTACAATATGTGCCTTTACCCATGAATCTTCAACTAAAATTGTCCTTAAAAAAGTTAACTTATGAAACTCTAATGTTACGTGTTGCAAAGAAATTGAATTTAGAGCCTCTAAGTGGATTTAGGTTATCTTATCAAAGAAAATGTAAAGTTTATTTGTTATCCGACAATGAAGATGTTGAACGATTCATTGCTTACATTAGTGTTTCGCAAGAAGTTGATGTTACATTGTATGTTGTTGAACCTAGAAGTAGTGAAGTTGGGTCAGTAGTGGGTAGTAATCAACTAAGTTCTTCAACCCCAGTTTATGGTGCTCACAATGTACAACGTTATTATCAACCTCAAAATTTAATGGTTCCACCACAATTTCATCACCAAGAAAATTTTGTTTCACCACATTTCCAATACCAAACACAGTCTCAAAACCCACAAAATTTTCCTAATCCAAATCCCAATCAACTTTCAGCACCAAATTCTGATTTTCGTATTGACCAGTTAGACGATTATGAGCCAACAGAAAAAATTGTGAGTACTAGTCAGTATTCGAAGTTTGATCTTGGTCAATACCCGGACTTTGATCTTGGTCAATAATCGGATTTTGATGATGTTTCATAAGAAGAAACAGACCCTGCATGTAATGATTTTGATATTGGTCAATACCCGAATTTTGATGATGAAACAGCCGCTGCCGAGGAATATGTTGTTGATGATAATGAGGAGGAAGTTACGACTGTGAATGAACATGTTGAACATCCATTCTGTAATTCATATAACCCTGAAGAAGAAGAAGAAGAAGTCCCCGAAAAAAAGAAAAAAAAGAAAATGCCACGGGAGTATAATTGGAATATGCCAGAATTACTTCAGATACCGGAAGAAGAGTTGGTAAAGATAGCAGTTGATTGTTACACAAAAGTTATTTATATCAAGAAAGATGATTGTTTTGATACAAAGGAATACTTGAAGATAGCTTTGTATACAAAATGTGTGGAAGATGACTATCAACTAAAAGCTAATAAATTAAGCAAAGATCGTTTCGAAACAAAGTGTATGATTGACAAAAACTGTACGTGACGTATGATTGCAAAGAGGATAAAAGATTACGAAATGTTTCAAGTTAGGACTTTTATTGATAAACATACATGTTCAAGAACCCAAGTTTTTCCTCACCATAGACAGGCAAACAAAAAAATGTTGTGTGGTTTTCTGGCTGAGTTAATGTTTTTGAATGGAAGGGTATATCGGTGACATGAAATTATGACTGACATGAATGCTCCGTTCAATATTAGTATCTCATATTCTCAAGCTTGGAAAGCCAAATGTTATGCCTTGGAATTGTTGAGGGGGTCGCCAGAAGCATCGTTTGCCCAACTGCCGGCTTATTATCACAATTTAAAGCTGAAAAATCATGGGTCGGTAACTCATATCAAAACAGATAGAGATGGACGGTTTAAGTTGCTGTTTATCGCCATTGGTGCTGCGGTTAGTAAATCATTATAATTTTGTTGACTCATTTTTGTTAGTTGCATGCATTTTACATTTAAATGATTATATTTCTTGTGTATATGATTTTGTAGTTCGTTCGTTTATTACTTGCATGCGTCCAGTTATTATTGTTGACGGAGCACATTTGAAAGGTCGATACCTTGGAGTAAACTTATTAGCAGTAGCCATGAATGCTAACAATGGGATACTGTCAATAGCTTACGGGGTTGGCAAATCTGAAACCTCTGATTCATTGACATGGTTTATAGGGCAACTTAGGGATT